AGCCAAGGTTTCTCCTGGAAGCCTGTGTCAACATTTGTTCGAGCTTTGAAGCTTCTCACTCTTTGGTGGTGGTCAGTGACAGCAGCTTCGGTTGAGGTTGAGTGACAAAAAGTAGGGTTAGTTCATCCTCTACGGTAACCTTCTCCTAAACATGGGTCTTCATTGTTGTAAGAGCAGACATAGTGTTGAGAAGGAAGAAAGATTGTTTTTCCTCTAGTTAGTGGAATGATTTGAGTTTATTAGCTGCGAGTCATTGCCGGACAGAACGGAGCATTGTGCTAGAAACAGCTTTGCAAAGGGCAAGATGCAGAAGTTCAGTCTGCAAATTCTCTGATCTCATTCTAGCCACGGCATTGGCCTTGCAAGCGAGAAGGAAAACACGGACAAAGCAAACTCAAGGCACTTGTTTAACCAGTAATTAATTGCATAAAATACCATCTTTACTCAGAGATGTGGTAGTTGGTCTCTGAGCCAGCCCAACAGCTGTTTAGCCCATGATCAGACAAGCACTTTTATTTATTTAAGACTAATTGCAGACAGAGGTTTTCCTTGGTAAGGACTTGCAGTTTCAGTCTTAGAAACCACCCTGACTCCAAGTAAGTAAGTTGGTTGTTGTCAATGTGAGGGCTTTTGCTGGGTGTGTTGGACACATCAGAGGAAGCTACTTGATGTCTCAGCAGATCAAGTTTGATGAGTAAATGCTTCTCTCTCATGCTAGGGTTGTTGCTATATTTATGGAAATAGCAATAAATAAATAAGGGGGGGAGCGGGATGAGGTAAAAACAATATTTCTAAAAGGTTTCTGTTACTGGACAAGCCCGGTATTTCCAGGAAGGGAGACACTTGTTGTGCTGATGGGCCATGAAAGAAATTGAAGAGAGGAACAGGTTCTGGTATTGTTAATTCAAGTTGTAGAAGACTGTAGGTTGATAAATGTCCAAGCCTTTCTGTATATTGAGATTGGTTTCAACCTAAATGTATGTGAGGACCATTTAGACACTGGGTACCATATTTGGAGATCTTGCTCCATGCTTTGGAGTAAGATCTGGCCTTGATAGCACAGTTCTGGCCCTGAAGGCACAGACACCTGAGCTACAAATGCACAAATATGGCAAGTATATAGTTCCCATATGAGAGCTCTAACTCTCCAAAATTCAGTTGAACTCAAGGATCTCTTTAATCATGACGGAAATAAATACATATATATAGGTGAGAAGATGAAAATATAAAGTGAAGTAGATGATGGTAGTCAAGGAATGCTAAAGAAACTGGGAGTTTGAGGCTTTTCAAGGCTCAATAGAGAAAATGGATGGTACATGAAAAAACAGAACCTTGACAGATATGAGGACAGCACTTAACAGAATATAAGGATTAACAAGTCTGATTTATGCAGAATTTTTGGTGATAAGAATAGAGGCCAAGGGTTAGAATATGGGCTGCTATGAAATGCTGGACATGCTCTATTGACTTTGTGCTCACAGCATTTGAGAAACGCTCCGATGAGTTTGAAATGCTAATTGGGCTGTCTCTCCAATTGTTTTTCCTCTTCCTTGCTCTTGCCAAACCCAACTCAGTGTGCATCAAGCAAATTTAGTGGAAATTTGAGTCTAGCTAATATTCACACGCCATTCTCTTGCTCGTATGTAGTTCAAGTTTGTTTCCTATTAAAATATCTTGCTTAAGGAATCGCTCTTCATCCCCAAAGAAAGCTCTTCAATTCTGAAATGAACAGTTTCAGCTGAACTGAACTCCAACTACTTTTTCTTTTTTTTGAGCTCCAGAAAAGATTTGGCAGCCTTGAAAAAGCGAAGTCCTGTGCTCATTGCTGCTCCCATTGCTACGGAGCCGAAATACTTAAGTGCTTACAGGAGTTCAACTGCGTATGGAACAGAAACTAACATCAAAGAAGAATTAATGGATTTTTTTTATTATTATTTTAGAGTGGAGTTGTTCCTTTGTATCTTCTCATGCATTATATCAGCAAAAAGTAAAGTGGAAAAGGTGATATTTTAGGGTTTTATAACTTGTATTCCTAGGTAATGGCACTTGGATATCTATTTGTTCGTTGGCCTTGTGTTCTGATCAGGTTCACTGTGGCCTTCACTGCACTGCTGAGGGAAATGGTGCTGTCCTCCTACAGGCTTGGTATGGAAAATTTTTGGGTTATATAGGAAAGCGGGACACCTGGTGCAGACCCATACGGGCTGGGGAACATGCCTGTGTGGAGTCAGGCATCTACCTTCCTTCCTTCAAGTACCTTAAGAGCCCCAGCAGCCTGGTTAGCGTGAGGGATGCTCCAAATTTTGTAGCGTTTATAATGCATTGAAATGAGCCTTTGTATTTATAAAATACGTATTTGTGGTTTGCTGATATATCGTTACTCTCAATAGTAATTTCTCAGCTTTGTCATTACCATGTCTTGTGTGTTATTCTCACTTTGTTTTATCAGCCATAGCATGAATATATTTGCTATATAGGCCTAAAAGCTTCCTCCAGGTGGTGTTGTATAATGCCACCATATGTGTCCAAGGACAGTTTTTACCTATGACTTGGCTGGGTTGAAATAATAGTGATTGTAATTGTTTTTATTTGCACGTGTCCTGAGGGAGCTTAGTGCTCGCTACCTACTTTACAGAGAGCTTTCAGTCCAAGCGGACAGAAATAATTCCGTCGGATGGGCGAAGCACACGGATGAACTGGTTTGCGTTTAGGAAAGGAAGACTGAAGGTGAAGAGTGAGAGTGTTGAGAGAGAATGGGAAAAGACGGGTTGAATCAAGCAAAAAGAATTGTGGTGAGACAGAACTAACAGCGGGAGAAACGGGGAGAAAGAAATACATGAAGACATGGGCCACAGGAAGGGCATGGAGAGAGATGCCAAAGAGGAGGCTGAATGTACAAATTGGACTAGAGGGAAGCACTTTAAGGATGTGATTTGAGTGTTAGGAGGAGATGCCTAGGTATTTTGAATGAGAGTCCAGAAATATGTGCATATATAGTAATAAAGGGATGCTTAAGTAAGGGAGAGCTTGAGGCCCTTCAAGGTTTAAGGTTTGTTCCCCTCCCATACATGGCTTTTATGGGAGCCTAGGTGGGAAGACTAATGGCAGGACTCAGGTAGGTTTGTGACTCTCACTGTCAAGTTGTTTGTGTGTGTGTGTGTGTGTGTATATATAAATATAGATTACCAGTAGGAAAGTTGCAATCCTTTTTGTCCAAAATTTTCAATTGCTAGTGAGAATTAGGGATTTTTTTGTGTGTGTCTGCTGGATGTCACTTGAAAGGACCTGATCCCACCGTCTTCTAAAACCCGTCCCTCCCAAGGAGACTCTGTGACTGTTCAAAAATGTGCATCCTCAGTATCTGCTGCCCAGAGCATCCCACGTAAGAGCTAAAACGGTGAGGTTGTATCCACAGAGGGCCATGCTCACCCCCAGGCTTCTCTCCCTGGAGTATTTGGGAAGAATACGGCTGTTATTAGCTGCACTGGAGCCCAAGAGGAATCTGGGCTACTCACAAGTTGGTCTTTCAAAGTCAGCTTCTCTGATCCCTTTTCTAAGACTGGCGTGATATTATTGAGTATTTGTTATTCTGCTAGAGAACTTGCATTTTTGCAGTCATTAATCTTCTGGAGCATCTGAAGAATATTATTTACTAGCATCATCTTTTGACAACCTGAGTTTGTTTTTCAAGAATTTTGAGGAATGTGCAAGCATCCACACACTATGTGTGTATGCATATATATATATAAAATATAACTTCACATAATACACATATATATGCACACACACTATATGTGGTTATTTTATATACATATATAGCCACCTACAAAAATAACCTACTAAATCTCACATTACAATTTATTTTCCTATATTTTCTTTTTCTATGCCATTTATTTTCCATTAACATCACCCAAGCCAAGAGTTATTTTCTTTTCGGATGCATTAGATGTTTTACAGAAACCTTTACGTATTTATTTTCCTTCTGGAGCCTGTAATCAGTCTTCAAGTAGCACCAAAGAGGTTGAGTGTAAAAGGAAAAACGAAATGCAGCTCAATAAAATGCTATTGGGAAAAAAAAAAGAAAAAAAAAACAGTCTAAAGCTTAGCCAAATTCTAGGATTCTGATTAATTCCTCTTTCTTAGCTCCATATTCGTCCTTACTGTTGTTTATATATACTTGAGGATTAAAAGAGCTTTCTGGGACTTTGTGCTTATTGTGGCTTCAGAAAACATGCAGGCCAGAGCCTCATTCATTTTACCAGGGGAAGATTTTAGGTAGGAAGCTCCTCAAGCAAAACACTCTCCAAGAAAAAAAGATATATATATATGTTTTGGCTCGATGTGGATGAAGAATACTGGTTTTTATTTTGTTGGTGGTGTGTACATGGATATTGATTTTGATGCTCTAATATAAGGGATGAAGCTATTAGGATGCGTGTTTTGATAAGATATAATTGAAATTTAGCTATGAATATTTCAGGAAAAAAGACCAAAGAAAAGGCAGACTGATACTTAATCTACCTTGATAACAGGAAAAGGATGAAAATAATCTGTGTCTGAATGCTGCAGAACAGAAAAAATATCAAAAGAATGAAAGAAAAAATGAAAAGAGCTATTTTTACAATAGATTTATTTTTGTAATTTCAGTTCATGTACTGTATTCTCTGGTGAAAATGACAGTGTCTGGTTTACTTAGTATAAATGGCTTTAGGTTAGGAGGACAATTCATCTGGGCAAAAGCTGGCACTGGCGAAGTAACAAGAAAAATGGGCAAGCTGCAAAGGGATTAGTTTTAATTATTATATTCCTTGACACGAGATGATTTTTTTTCTTTTTTTCTTTTTTTTTTTTTAATCATATCCAACATCACGTTTGGAGGAAATTCATTCAGGGTTATGTTTTTGGAAGCATTATCCTGCAAACCTGCTAAACCATAAGCTGAAGAGCAGCCTCTGATTCTGCTTGTTCTTACTAATTTTTCTTTTTTCTTGCCTTTATAGACGCACTACGAAAGCGGAGAGTATATTATAAGACAAGGTGCTCGAGGGGATACTTTCTTCATAATCAGCAAAGGGAAGGTGAGTTGGACACCCTCTTTAAGGAAAATTCAATGATGATGATGTGCTCTTGCAGTGTGGTGCCAGTCAACATTTTCTCACTCCCCAGTCGAGACTGTTGCAACTCTTGACATTTAATTAAACTGACTGCGGCTCAATCAATAGGGAAGAGTGGTCTGAAGAGGGGAAGACCACAAAAAGTAGATTGTTCTACCAAGCTTTGGGGCTTGGTAACCCTTACGAAGCCTCTTGGTGGCTTCATAAGCCTCTCCTTTCTCTCCTCTTTTTTTTTTTTTTCCCCTTCCATTTGAAATTCCTTTTTAGCTAATGCTATTACACCTGACAAATATGTGGTATCTTTCCACCTCGTGGGATGCAAATGCTGAAGGGAATACGCAGTGATTTTTTTTTTCTCTCTATGGATGAGAAGCAAGGCATTAAAAAAAAAAAAAGTAAACACAAAAGGGATAAATGTGCTTGACAGTAAGCCAGTGGAGCTGACACTTGCACGAGGCCACATATTAGTAGAGGGCTTGTGTAATTAAAGATACCAAAAAGCTCCTGGCATTCGTCGAGGAAGAGCAATCGCCAGATTGGGAATGGATCTGAATGACTGCTTCCAAAGGCTGTTGCCAAGACATCAGGTACTAAAACTAGCTGAAGGATCTAGAAGTGAAGGAGCTCCTAAGCAAGATCCTTCTCTTTCATTTTCGGCTCTTCACCATTAAGTTTGATGGCTTTCTCTCATGCTCTTCTAGTTCCCTCCACTCAGAAATGACATTTCCTGTTCTCCCAGAGTAAGGACAGCCATGACCCACGCTTCAAAATGCTTTCTGCAGCAGACCTCTCTTAGTGGATGGCAGTTCATCCTCTGTGCTTAAAAGGACATTTCTAATCTCTGATTTCCAACCTTACCCTTCCCACCAAAGGAACTGGCAGTCAGCTGGCAAAGATGCTTTTGGTTAGGTGGAAGTTCCCCCATCCCCAAAGAGTTTTTAAATCCAAATCCCTGTTGTCAACCCTACTGCGCAACCTGCTGTTGATGCATATGATCCATCCAGTCCCCCTCAAGTCTTTACCTCCTCTCTGTCAGAAAGGAGAAGAAAGTCATGTGGGTCCTCGTGCCTTTGACTATGGCTCCAGAGTCCTGTAGTCATGCTTGATACACTCCACGTCATCACTAGCCATATTGTTGTCCATGTTCTCACTTTGACAGATCCGTTCACTGCTTGATCTTAAGGCACCTGATGGCCAAAGAAAGATGATTCAATTTCTAGAGAAATTCCCAGACCATTCGCTAGATCCTTGCAACCAAAGAGAAATTCCCGCAGGGACCAAGTTGAATCTTGCAGAAGCTTCTCTTGCAACCTTACTGATTTGCAAAAGAGGAATCAGTGAATGATGAAAGATGACAGGAAGGGAAGACTGCTTAGTTTAATGCCTGCATTGAGATGCGTCAGCTACACAAGAACAACTCCATGATGAGGGTACAGGACAAGCACTGTGGCAGTGAATAAAAGCATCCATATATGCCATATAGACTTTCTGAAGTAGTGTCACATACTGCTAAAACCTCACCCAGGCACCTTACTAAGACAAAAATGTTTCTAGCTCCAGGTCATGTATCTGAGAACTCACATATCCCTTCTGCGCTCAGCAGCTTCATGCGAGCGTTATTGCTTGGGAATCTCGGGGAATCCGGCCTGGCAGTTCTCCTCTATTATAGTTTAATTCCTCAAGTCCTGGTGAAGAAAAAACAGAGCCTTGTGCAAAACAACCTGTGTACAGAAATCCCTTGAATAAAACATGGGCTGCAAGCAGTTTGATCCCCGCTGTATGCTAAATGCTGCAGCTTGGTGCCCATTGAGCCTGTTTTTTTTTTTGTGTGTGTAAGGATGATGTGTTGTGTCATAGGCTGGTTTCCTCCCTAAAAGTGATGCTTTGTCCCCGATTTCATCCGAGATCTTTCTTTGCTGGTGCCAAGGCAGTTAAAATGTGTCATTGTTTTGAGCCATGTCAGAATTACGCTCTCCTAATCCCTTCTCGTTTGTTTCTTAGGCTTAGCAGAGGTCATGGAGAAAGAGCTAAAAAATGCATTGTTTTCTTTGGTTTGTCCAAGGATTTTTTTTTTTTCTTGCTATAGGCTACAAATCTTCCTGTCTCATCTGTTACGCTTCCCCTCCCCTCATCTAAGCTTCGATGAGTCACTGCAGATGTTAAATCTGGTGTATTGTAGACTGAGTGCTCATTAATGACTCAAAGCCGTTGTTTTTGCCATCCGTGACAGAGCACGGAGAAAGGTGCAGGACACAATTGTAAATGTAATAGTAAATTTCAACCAGAATGTGTCTGAACCAGAAATAACGTGTCTGCTGGCCCCAATTTTGGTTTTGCATTTTGCGTGTGAAGGCGCTCTGATGAAAGCAAATCAACAGCCTGAAATGGAGATGGAGTTGAGAGATGGTCCCTTGTACACAGAGATACCTCCAGAGCTCTTAGCTTTGAGTGACTCAATTTGGAAATGTCCATCCATCTCCACTGACTGTAGAGGCAGCTTGGACAAGTACATCTACAGATGACTTGCTGTGATGATACCCACCCTGCACTCACTGCAGGGGACCATATTTCATCTGCCTTCTTGCACTTCAGGATGTGCAAGTTGCCTCTGGGAACACTTTCCATACGAGACTCATCACTCATGGAGACTTTTGAGTCCTTGGTAGCTGTTGACGTGTGGCGTGCCACATCTCAGCAAGCAGTCAACATCAGGGACTTGGTCACTGCTTGGCTGCCAGGGCTTGGATCCCATATGGGTTCTGGACAGATGCCCGAAGGTGAACGGGAGCCGCTTTCTAAGATAATGCATAGTAGCAGAATCTTCAGAAAGATCAATTGCTACTTTTCTATGCTATTTTTCTTCAAACGTTCATATGAATGAACATTTGCTTCAGCTATCATTATCTTTCACCTGAATTCAAGAGAAGGACCACTAGAAGAGGAGTCCTTAATCCTGTGTTGTTCCAAATGGTTTCATTTCAGTTATGTATAAATGTATTTTTTTTTTCTTAAGTGAACTTAACAACACAAGAAATCCTATGTAACTAAGCTATCAGAATGCTCCGCCATGTGTCTCTCTTATACACATGAAATATTTGGAACCCCTTTCTGCTGTTGACCCATATGGCCTATGACTGTGCTTGTGCAGCCAGCTCCATGCTGAAAGCTTAAAATATTCAAAAAATAGGAATATGGCACTTTTTGCAAGAGTTATATGTGTTTGAATGGAAAATAATTATTCATTTTCTTGAATGGTTTGAGACCAGCTTATGGGGAATGAGAAATTGCAGTATCAGGACAGAAGACAGGCCAGGAGAATAAAGTGGCTCCCAGGGAGGAACCTAGAAGAGCACATTTTCTAGGAGATGTCTAATCCCTCTCTGAGCAAGCAGATTTTATTAGTTAATTGGAAGTTTTTAAAATGCAATGGGGGGGTTGACTTTTCCACAGGTGAATGTTACACGCGAAGACTCCCCCAGTGAAGATCCTGTCTTTCTCCGCACTCTAGGAAAAGGAGATTGGTTTGGAGAAAAAGCCCTTCAAGGGTAAGTGCTCCTTCTGATGTTGCTCTTCTATTGAGATATTTTTGCCAAGGGCTGTCCAGGCATTTGGAAACAGGTTAGAAATGCCTTGGAAGTGCTTTGACCAGCTGCATTTTGTGCCTTGTCCCTTGGCCCTGCGTGCTGGGGTGAGACCGGTCATGGGGACCCAGCAGGGATGGGGAAATAAGATTTGGGTTGCCATCATGTGGCCAAATACAGATCCTCCCCTTCCTGCTCGTAGATGTGATAAAATAGCTTATCTTTGCACTGTCTTCCCTTGGAGGATCCAAAATGTTTAACTTTCATCAACATAGAGTGATGTGTAGGATAAGGGCATGATTATGGTCTTCTAGGTGAGGTAGACAGCTGAAGGTAGAAGGATGTGGGGGGTTTGGTGTGTGTTTTTCTCTTTTTGTTTTTTTTATTTTTGTGGTGATGTATCTGTGTGAGTTTGGGGAACGGGGTAATTGAAGGTGACTGACCTGTTTTATTTTCCTTCGGTCACTTTATCTAGAAGATGACTTTGGTGAAGGAATGGAGTAGAAATTGTAAATCTCTTTTAATCAGATGATTATTATAAAAGCATACCCTATTTCCATAGGGAACAGTAAAAATGGAACATGCTTTAGGACACCCTTTAGGAATTTAGGACATGCGTTAACCTTGAAGGACGACCACTTGGGCCTGTCCTGGGTACTTCTCTCTGCACGGGGCATCTCTTTGGCACTTTGTTAACACATCCAGGACCTCGTCAATCGGCCTTCTTTCCAAAAGAAGAAACTACAACGGCTCTAACCCAAATTTTGAGCTACTTCTGGCAGCCAGGGAGTACAGCACAATTACTCCAGCACACAAAATGCTTGAGTGTCACCGCTGAAAATCCAATACTCGTTTTATTAAACTAAGCGCCCTTTTTTTGGTTACTTTTTAATAATATGAGAGATGCGAGATACACTTTTTTTTTTTACCCCTACAAGCATATAAACTCGATGAATTATTAACACGTGAGTATCTTCTAGAACATCACTGCTCAGCGCTCGTGGTAGACCTTCAGGATATTTCTCCTGTGTATGAAAAATACACTTATGACTGGCAGTTTAAGATAAACTCAAAGAAACTTCTAATCTATTTTATTTTTCATCCTTGAATATTTTTTCAAAGCTCTCTCAGGATTTGTTTAGCCATAGCTTTGTAAAATACTGTTAAACTATACTCGGGAGCAAATGCATTAAAATAAAAAAATATATATAATTTTGCAATTTCTGATGTGTAGGAGTCAGTAACAGCTCCAAAACTTTTTTTCCTGACAACATGAAGTAATAGTTGCAGTTTTCATTCTGCATATTGCTGCACAGCAGGAGGACAGATCCCAACTATCTTGTGTTCTCTGAGAAATATTTAAACTGACATGGAAATCCAGTAATGAAATACATTATTTTGCCCTTTTTTCTTTTTTTTTCTTTTCCCTGTGTGCACCAGATGGCTCTCGTTATTTCACAGTATCCCATTGCACCCAGACAGGAACAAAGCAAGTCATGAAATCATCAGGCATGTTATCTTACAGGAATACTTAGGGCTCCCAAGGATTACATGGTTCTCCTACTTTCCTGTCTGGGTGAATCAGGGATAGCAGATGTATAATTTACATTATAAAAATACATAATTTGGAATGTATTTGCCATTGGTTATTTTGCTGTGCTATTTCTTTAATTCAGAAATCAAATGTATAGAACCATTGTGGCAACTTTCTAGCAACGGGAAAAGGACACAGAACTAAGTCGGCAAAGGAAAACCAGGGAAATAACTCAGTGCAACTAAAATAATGTGTATTTTAGTAAAATGGACTTATAATTACACATTCTCTTGTGCTCGGAAGTGTCTTTAATTCAGTTGCCACCAGAGGTAGCTAGTTGGATGTGACCAAGACTTACATTGGTGAGCTTAGAGGGGAAAAAAAGTTGGTGTTTAAATCCATGTAGACATTGTTTTGGTGTTGATTTTCGTGATTTCATTAAGCCAGAGAAAAGTGTTTTCACTTGATGGGAGGTGAGGACAGCACCATGCATGACTGCTGGAAGAGATGATTTTAATTATTTTAAGGCAGGCATATTGGAAAGCTGGAAGGATGTGGAAAGCCTTCCCCCCGCTGTGGCTGCATTGACCAAGGGTTGGCTCTCAGATGAGACCTGCTGGTGGTCACCTCCATGGGCAGCTCTTGGTTGGACTCTGTTTGAAGGGTATCCTCTGCCTGCTTTCTCTTTTGGAAAGAGTAAAGTGTGTGAGGGGTGTTGTTTGTTGTTTTTTTCTAAGATGTACTAACAGAGTGAAGAAGTAAGGTGGATATTTGGGTCTTGCATTGGGTAGGAGCACAGATCTTGGGGTTCCTAAATCAACCTCTGAGAGTCATCAGCTACTTAGGTATAATGTGTAGGGACTTGGTGTCCACTGTCTAGGGTATCCACACTGCACTGCGATACCATGGAGCAGTTTTTTGGCCTGTCTCCTTTTCTTCTTCTGTCTTGAAAAAGAGACTGCAAACCCTTTGGGGACACTCCTGTTGCTTGCTGAATGGGAATGTAGTAGGACTCTTGGCTAGTCCCTAGAGAAAAAAGACCACAAAATAAGCTGGAGATATTCATGGATCAAATGAAGAGGGTTTGATTTTTGCTTTCAAGATTTTGGGGAGAAGGCTGACTTGAGGAACTGGTGACATTTTATAGCTTGAGCTCCTTTTCCTGCAAATGACTCCTCTGTTTTGTTGCCCTCGAGATCGTTTGGAAATGTGTGCGGTGGTGCCAGTCTCTTGCAGGAGCCACCAGCACCTCCTACGTGCAGGAGAACTTACACTATTTCCCATTTATATCTCCACCTCCAGAGGCTTCTGCTCAGTTAAATTCCCACCATACCAGAGACCATCTGTCCTTTAATTCCCCAAAATCTCTTGGCTATGCTTCGCCTATGTTAGGACCCCCAAAATCTTTGGGATATTTTCTGCACTGCTCATCTGCAGTGGTAAAGCAAGGTATGCCCATATATGCAGTAATGCCAGCAGAACATATATTTTCCAACTGCTCAAAAAACTTGGTATCGTCTTTCCACCCTCACCGAAAGCGGTGCAGGCGTCTGTGCTGAATTTTGTCTTCAGGGTTTTTTGTGTGCGGAGGCGATGGTCTGCAAAAAGGAGAGATGAGAGAAGGAAAAAAAGCAGCTTTGAAAGTAAGAAATTAAATCCAAGATCCAGGTGGCAATGCCATTGCTTTATTTTATTCTTTTTTTCTAAATTAATGCAAAGATTAAATATAATTCCTAAAAAATGTACAAGGCCATGACAACAGAGAAGTGCCAGTAGGACATTAGAGTACTGGCAATGCTGATTTAATTTTTTTTTAATGTTTTCTCTTGCTGTGGCCAGGGTTATGAATCTGCTTCTAGCAAAAATGGGTATAAATACGAGAGGAGGTGCTGAGGTCCCAGTAACGTATTCCTGGTCTTGACCTTGGCGTGACTCTTGATGCCATCACTGTGCAATTGCAGTGCTGGTCCTTCCGAACTGACCCTTACGCTGCTTCCAGATAAGTTTTTTAATTTGCTAAATGCACTGTTGCTTCTCGCAGCTCTTGTTACACCTGAGCAAAGCTGTCCCCATGTCCTTGACCGATCACTCAATCTAAGTGCAGCATTTCATCTTAGTTGGAACCTTGCTCACGATCGTCTTCCTTCCACCTTCCTTAGCATTTTCTGACTCATTAACTGAATTAACTGATCCTGAATTTTTTCTGCGAGAGGAGAAAGGGATGGAGACTTGGATATGTTTTGTGCCCAGGGGAATTTCTTGGAGGCAAGAAGGAGGTGGTGGCATCAGCAAACATTCATTTTGGAGGGCAATGTGTGTCTTGTTTTCTAGTTGGCAAAGAGAAAGGACTGATGTTTCTGGGTTGTCCTGGCACATGCTGAGCAATGCGCTGTTTGCTTGCCCAGATCTGCACTGCCCTGCTCCCCAGGCCTTTGCTTTTGAGTGCTTAGGGCTTAAATCTTCACTACATCAAGGATTTAAGCTCCTGGAACTTGGCTGCCTGAGTAAAAGGCCTCTGCGTGTTTTAGTTGCAGCCGAACACGAGAACGACCCGTCATCTCCTGAGGATATTTGCTGATGAAACATAAATATCGCAAGAAACACAAATATTGCTCTGATTCTAGATGGTGAGCAGAGCAGTCCCTCTGTTTTGTAGCTACCCACCAAAAGTGTTCTGCAGTGTCCACAGGTTTTTAGGTGTTTTCCTTGGCCAAAGCAATTTCCTCTGGTTCCCTGTGGAACCTCCTCCAAGAGGGTCAGAAGGACCTGAGCATGGTCCATGCTCTTCTCCTCAATGCCAGCTGGTGGCTGAAGGGCAGTCCCTGCTACGAATCCATCAGTCATCCCCAGTGGGAGTTCAAAGCCCTGTGTGGGTCTGGGAACACAGCAGAATTATCCTGTAAAAAGAAAAAAAAAAAGCCACGGGAATCGATGGTTGAAAAGGGACAGCATCCCACTAGGCTTGGTGGTGGGAAGAGATTCACAATTCCCATTCTTTTCTCAATCCCTCAGACATGTAAAAAAGGCAAAGGAGCCGATTCCTACAAGATCAGCCTGGGGAAAATGCAAGTTTCCAGCCCAGAGCCCTCTTAAGATTATGTTCCCCTTGCCCCGTGCTTGGCTTTGCGTGGAGGGAAGAGTGAGAAGGTCTTGTCTGCAGCATCTCAGAGCAGCGCTGTGAACAGTTACGGGCAATGACTGAAAGTTAAGACAAGAGGATGTTCACTTGGTGTTACGTAAAAATTATTAATTACCATTGATGCCAAATAAGGGATCTTTTAATTTATAAATTTGCAGCATTGTGGCTTAGTTGCCCTCTTTACTTAAGCATCTGCAGCACGGTGGGAGTAACTCAGCTGCCTGCATCCAGCATGTTATCCCCAGAGAGCAACAGGAAGTTTTGCCGCCCGTTATGCTAGCATTTTCCCCA